GCAAAATTCAAAATGGCGGATCCAAGATGGCGGACCAAGATGGCGGACGAAATTTTTAGCCGAAATTAATAGAAATTACTACTCTTAGCACTACCCAGGAACAACGGCGTGGACGTGGTAGTTTTTTGTTCCCTTTGGGGTGGTTTATTTACGTGAGTCCCCTTGCCTCTCACTATCGGGGTGCTTTATTTACGTGAGTCCCCTTGCCTCTCACTATCGGGGTGCTTTATTTAGTTAATTTGTAACTTCAAACAGTTAATTCGCTAAGTAGTACACTTAGCGAATTAACTGTTCGAAATTCCGTCCATTTTCTTGAATGCAAAAAGGGGGGTTTCCATTTTAAAAAAACCACTTCCGGTTGAAGTAACCCACTTTCGGTCAAAATCAAAAGTTGAAAGGTACGCCATTTTGGTTCTCTCTCGAAACCCTACAACTTTTATATGAAACTTTTTTCGATTCTTGGCCACACAAACGAGTTATTGGAGGTGATAGATTCAGATGACTCACCCTGTATATTTATATGAGGCATTTCATAATTCAAATCGATGAAGATTTTGAGTCTCTCTCTTTGTCTCGTGAGTATGTAAATAGTAATATATGAAATAGTAACATATGTAAATAATAATATATGTAAATAGTAATATATGTAAATAGTAATATATGAAATGTATTGTACTGAATTATTTTCGATTTTTTTTGTTTTTTTTTGAGTTCTAGGAAGTTAAGAAATTGAAATTTGTTAACATTGTTAACTCGTAATACCTTCTCAAGTAGAAATAGGAAAAAAACATATATCCAACATTTTGTTCAAAATAATTGTTCTGTAAGATGATTTTTTAATTACGTTAACAATTTTTACTTCATGAAAATTAAAGATAATATGAAAAATAAATTTGTGACCTACTTTAAGATGAAAATTGCTTTTTTCGCAATAGTGATTTATTAATTAATTTTAAAATTGTATTTTATACACAATGCTGAAATTATCTAATTCTAAATATTTCAATGCGATATACTCACGTTAATCGATTAAGAATGTCTTGGTTTTTACATGTGCATCTCATCTCTTTTCCTGCGTTTTCTAACTCACTTGTCCGAGAAACAGGAAACATTGTAATTGTAGATTTTGCACATGCTACGGACTCTGAAGGCNTAAATAGTTGCGTCTCGCTATTAGAAGTGTCTACTTGTCTGAAAAAAATAAAATCATGAATAGTGATATTAAATGTAATTAATGTATTCGTAAAATAGTTAATATTTCTAATTATATAGTGGTATATAAAGTGAAATTTTTAAGTTTACTTAATACTAGTATATAATATTCAATTCAAACAATTGGACAGAATTTGTAGTTAATGAACCAATTATTAAATAACATTAACACTTATACACTTACGAATATACGGAAATAGATGCTGGAGCATTCTTCATTTTTTCCGACGTACTCGGAATAGTGATTTTCTCCAATATATTAGCCGTATTAACCGATTTTTCTCCGATCTTGTTTCTTTCGTTCATTAGCAGTCGAAGTCGATGAAGTTCTGTTTTCATACATTTGTTACCTTGAGAGGTTTTTGGTCTCCTCAAAGCTTCATCAGATGATGATGTCATAAACCGTTCTGGTAGTGTCACCAATCTACCGCTGCCAGAAATTTTAGAATATTTCTTCTTTTTTTTATTTCCTTCTCCTTTATCCATCTTTGTTCGATTTCGGAGCTGCAAAATGAAAATTGCTTTATAACTTAAAAAAACTACTTTTATAAACAAACAATTAAATTTTAATATGTTTGTTTGAAGCAATACTGTAGTTTATTCTTGTATAAAAAATGTTAATATTTATTTATCACAATTTATGTAGAAAAAATTTATATGAAATATATGTATATTACATATTAAAATAAATTTAATGTTTACTTTAATGTTATTGTTTTACGTACGTTTTTAATAATTAGCAGACAATTTTGTTTAGCATTACTCTGATTATTCATTATTCAGGTAATACNAGAGGTGTGATAAGCGATGCGCATATCCACTCGTTTTCAAGAATGCGCTCTTCCTGGCCTTCGTGGGCACTCCACTTCGGCATTTTATACATCTTTCCTTTAACATTGATTAGAGTAATTGCCTCGATTGCAACTGATAAATTTGAGCAATGGTATACCCCAGCAAAATCTGACGTCACTCCAACGTTATATAACATAACGTTTGTACGAAACTTTTTTACGATGAACAAAATATTTTCTTCTATCTGTATGATGTTCTGTATTATNCAGATTTCAAAGTTTTTCAGCAGGCAGCAGTTGTCACGCTCAGTGGTTGAAAATATAATTTTTCTAATTTGCAATTTATGAAATTGCCGACAAAATTGGGCGGAAATCTCTTGTACTAAAGGACCTTCTGNGTGACTTTTTGAGCCACGAACTTGGACATTGTCATCTAAAGATGTTAGGATTACGTTGTTCAGTTCAGATATTCTGTTATAGAACTGTTGCAATGTAAGGTGCGGTTTGCGAATATACTTCCGAAATTGAGGCATATTATTTTCTTAGTCGAAAGCACTAAACGATTCCAAAGACCCGAGTCGTTTAACATCACCTACTATATATGTAGAAGGCCGTGTACATTGTATGACAGAAATTGTTCTCCGTACAAATGTTCACACATGTCAACGTACGTTTCAACAGCTTCTTGGCAATGCACAAAAGTATCATCATCGATATTTTCGAAACTCAAAAGACGCATTGTACAATGCAGCAAAATAAAGTGCTCATAGTATTCATCGTTAAAAACATTTTGCAGCACAGCCGGAGCTGAGTAAAGTAAAAATTGTCTAAACTCAGTGGCTTT